AACAAATGTCTACCCAATTTTCAGTCGTGAAGCGGTGCAGTCTCCTGAAAGTTGTTTTGTGGAGAGGTATGAGGACCACCCTCCACAAACTGTCGTGCATAGACGGAAAACCGAAAACACTCGCCACAAGTTGTGTCAACGGTGTGGCGAGCAGTCTGACATATTTTTCATTTGCCAAGTTTGACGAGTAAGTGCAACCAATCGCCTATTTGCCAAACTCGGCGTATTCGCAGCCCTAAGGTTGCGGTATAGTGAGCTTCGACGTTTATGTCAAGGTGTCCCAATTTTTGAGGCGGGTGACCCGGACATAAAGTGGGTTCTTAGGGGGCAAAAAAATGGGGGACCGGTCCTTGGCAAAATCATTGCGGACTACCTACAGTTAGCTATAGTAGAACTGGGACTTTTGGAAAAAGGAAGGACCGGTCCTTGGGTGGAACTGGACCCCAGAAAGAAGTGGGGGGCATTGGACCGGTCCTCGGGTAGAAGCAGACCCCAAAAAGAAGTAAGGGCATGTGAACTGCAAAAGAGCCCTCAGGCCCAGGCGTTGAGGTCCGTCTTCTCAAAACAGGGAGTGCAGGCGCAACGAAATAGACATTTTGCAAGAGGCAACTTTTACGATTTTCTGTGCTCAGAGGAACTCACAGAAAAATCTGAAATTTTGAAAATCCATAGATGAGGTCCTGTTCTTTCCATAAAAAATATTAAAACATTTTCAAAAAATCATTTAGACCGCAAAATAATCGTAGCGCCTATTCGACACATTTTTTATTTTTGCCACTCAGCCATGTATGGGCCAACTGAAAAAGTGTTGCGTGAAAAAACATGAAAATTGGGGTATTCGTAGATTTAATTGTCATATCTCCATAAAAAATAGTAAATAAATTACAAAAATGAATTCCAAATGTGAAAAAGATCGCGACCATAATTTGACCCATATTTAATTTTGTCATTTTGCCTCTCTCTTTCTCTCTCTCTCTCTCTCTATATATATCCCTCTCTTTCTCTCTCTCTTTCTTTCTCTCTCTCACTCTTTGTCTCTCTGTCACACTCATAATAATAAAACTCTCTCTCTCTCTCTCTCTCTCTCTCTCTCTCTCTCTCTCTCTCTCTCTCTCTCTCTCTCTCTCTCTNCTCTCTCTCTCTCTCTCTCTCTCTCTCTCTCTATCTATCTATCTATCTATCTATCTATCTATCTATCTATCTATCTATCTATCTATCTCTTGTATGCGCTCTTACTTCGGCTACCTTAGGGTTGTGCTCCCCACGCCCACGCGGTAGACAATGGGTTTCGGCGTCTGTATCAAGGTGTCGCATTTTCACCAGTGGGCGACGAGGACGCAAAGTGGTTTGTTAGAGGGGGGGGGGAATTGGGGGACTAGTCCTTGGCGAACTACCTACAACTAGCTCTGGTAGAATAGGGCTTTTGAAAAAAACAAGGGTCGGTGCTCGGGTGAAAGCGGACCTCAAAAAGATGTGAGGGCATGTGAACTGCAAAAGGGCCCTAAGACCAAAACGTTGAGACCGGTATTATCAAAACAGGGAGGTCAAGCGCAACGAAATAGAGGTTTTACAAGAAGCAACTTTTATGATTTTATGTGCTTGGAGGAATCCGTATAAAAATCTAAAATTTTCAGAATTCATAAATGAGGTCGTTTTTTTTTCTATGAAAAATATCAGAACATTTTCAAAAAATCATTTAAACCACGAAATAATTGTCGCGCCGATTATACATATTTTTCATTTTTGCCACTCAGCCATGTGTGGGCCAACTAAACAAAGTACTCCTAATTCAACGAGTTTTCGTGCTCTGAAAATTTGTGAAAAAAACTTAAAATTGAAGCACTCGTAGTTTTTGTCGTAATCTTTCCAGAAAAATGCTACATAAATTAAAAAGATTATTCCAACTGTGAAATAGATTGCGGCCGCAATTTTACCCATATTTCAATTTTGTCATTATGCCTCTCTCTCTCTCTCTCTCTCTCTCTCTCTCTCTCTCTCTCTCTCTCTCTCTGTCTCTCTCTCTTTTTCTCTCTCTCTTTTTCTCTCTCTCTTTCTCTCTCTCTCTCTCTCCCTCTCTCTCTCTTTTTTTTTTTTTTTTTTTGTGCACGCTCTTAGTCTCATTGCGTTGGCTACCTTAGGGTTGCCTTCCCCATGCCCACGCGGTAGACAATGAAGAGTAGTACAACCAGACCATTAGACAGTGGTGTGGCGAGACCCTTCTCCTCGAAATTTGATGAGTGTGCGCTAGGTCGGGATGGACTAATGCTTTTCAAGTTCGTCTTGTTCCATTTTGCATTCCATCTTTGATTCACAAGTGCGTCTATTTTATAGTGTTGTGTGGCTAAAAAGGGGCAAACTGTCGAAACAAGGATGTCAAATTTATTTTGACAACCGTTGAAGTTCGCAACTCATCAGTGGAGCGTTTTCCCCCTCGGAGATTGACTTACCGTGAGGGCACGGGTGCGCAGCCCGTAGTTCGTTTGTTTATGTGGTTCGGGAAGGGTAAGGTAGTGATTATGCTATATGTATGTTTTGTCATGTTCGCTATACACAACTCGAAGAGAGTGTGTGTGGGGGGTCCGGTTGGTGCTTTATTCACGATGTTCATGTGACGCTGGACCCAGTTTCCAGCAGGTGGCGATCCCCATCGATAGACATGAGTGTATGTGCGTGTGTATGTGAGTGTGAGTGTGAGTGTGCGTGTGTGTGTGTGTGTGTGTGTGTGTGTGTGTGTGTGTGTGTGTGTGTG